TCCTTCCTTTTTTTTTTTTTTTTAAAAAGATGACCGGTAAGGGGATCTCAACCCTTGACTTGGTGTTGTCAGCACCACGCTCAGCCCGTGAGCGAACCGGCCATCCCTATATGGGATCCGAACCCGGGGCCTTGGTGTTATCAGCACCGCACTCTCCCGAGTGAGCCACGGGCCGGCCCAGAATTTCCTTCCTTTTTAAGGCTGAATAACATTCTATTCCATGCATATATCACATTTTGTTTATCCATTCATTCATGGTGAACACTTGGGTTGTTCCTGCCTTTTGGCTACTGTGAGCAATGCTGTAATGAAAAACTAAGATCTTTAATGCAGGTGTTTTAAACTGAAGGCAAATATCACTGCTTGAAAAGTAACCATCCTTCCATGCCACTGTGATAGGACGTTCATAACTAACACACAGAAGAGGGAGGCCCAAGCCCCCACTGGTCTGGAGTTGGAAGATAATCTGGAGAGAGGCCTTGAGAGGAAGTGCAGGGTCTAGATAAGTTCTGAGTTCTCACTCCAGAGCCGTATTGTCTAATGGTTAGAGCCCTGGTGGTGATTTATTTGTGGCCATAAGAACTTTAAAACACATTTAGTTTGGGGTAGCATAGAATTTTATGTATTTATTCTTCCACCCCCCTGAATGGTGCTGGTAGTTTATCATAACATAGAGCCTTGTTATTAAGACGATGACCAGCGCAGAGCCGTCATTTATAAGATATGGTTGGGAAAACACCCTTGGTCATTTTAACATAAATGAACATATTTTCATTGCACTCTAATTTGTGCTTTTCCAGGGTGATCAAAAAGGGTCATTCAGTAACTGTTTTCATATTAAGAGCTTGGCACATATCCATATTAATAAATACTGTATATGTGATTGGAAGTGCAGTAATGCTTCAAATGGTTAAGAGAACAACCATCCATAATTTTGAGTTGTGTGTATACCCAATTATTAAAGTGCAGATTACTTAAAATCATTCATAGAAGTCCTAGTTATGGGCCTTTTGGAAAACTTCATGAAAAGAAATCCCCAAAGTGAGATCAGATATTATTGTGAAATCAGATGAGAATTCACTTTATTTCATTTAATGGGATCTATACTAGCTTTGAGCTCTGTCAGCTTTTTTTTTTTTTTTTTTTTTTCCAAAAGATGACTGGTAAGGGGATCTTAACCCTTGACTTGGCGTTGTCAGCACCACGCTCACCCAGTGAGCAACCGGCCATCCCTATATGGGATCCGAACCCATGGCCTTGGTGTTATCAGCACCGCACTCTCCCGAGTGAGCCACGGGCCGGCCCTAGCTTTGAGCTCTGTAAGGTGAAATTAGAGATATAGTCCATTGTCTGATGTGAAATTCTAAAACAACACCTTTAATGTATACAATGGCCTGAATTTAATAGGAGCAAAATTCAATTTAATATTTTTGTGTGTTTGACATTTTATTGAAGATGTTCAGGTGGGTATAAAATGCAGTCTTCATATTCATGCTTGGTAGAGGCAAAAAGTGAATTATGCCAGAGTGTTCATTTATGAAAAGGTCCCAGAAGAATGTCTTGGGGACGGTCGAGCAGACCCAGGGAAGTGGGCTGGGAGCACTGACTTTCCCTTTCTCAGGGTGCCTCTCAACACTGACCTTCCTCCTGCTTTCAGTTCTGGGAGGTGATTGGCGAGGAACATGGGATCGACTCAGCTGGGAGCGACCGTGGGGCCTCAGCCCTGCAGCTGGAGAGAATCAGTGTGTACTACAACGAAGCCTACGGTAGGGCTGGGGGGCTGTGCTAACAGTGGTCCAACCACCCGGAACACAAGCAGAGAAAGAGCAAAGGCCCACGAGACTGAAATGTCCAATGAGTCCTGGCTGGGGCAGGTGGCAGGCAGAGCGGCAGAATCCCCAGGTGGCAGTCTCCGGCCGCTGCTCAAGAGGACTGGGGAGAAGTCACTGAATGGGGCATGCATCTTTACACAAGCAGCTTCAGCACCTACCTTCCTTTTTTGTTTTAAAATGAAACCCAGAATCATTTCCAATAGGAAAGAACAGAATCTCTGTTGCTGTCAATGCAAAAAAGCAGACAGTAATGGGAAACATGTTTCTTAGGTATTTTATAGATTTGTGTCATTGTTGTTGGGGCCAAAGATACAATGGGAGGTATTCACATCTTTATCAAAGATCCCTTTCTAGAGTACCCATGTGTTTTTCTTTTCTGACCAGTATCACTAGGTTCTATTTAGATGAAACACTAACTTGTGGAAAAACAACAGTGTGCTGACCGATTCCTATTTTTCTACACAGGTAAGAAATATGTGCCCCGAGCAGTCCTGGTGGACCTGGAACCTGGGACGATGGACAGCATCCGATCTAGCAAATTAGGAGCCCTCTTTCAACCAGACAGTTTTGTCTACGGTAGGTTTTTTCAGAAGGTTCCACCAGGAGGAGAGGGGGATGCGTCCTAGCGGATCCCTTCTCTCCTCATCCCTCTCTCTCCCGTGCCTGCTCTTCTTTCTGCCACAGGTAACTCTGGGGCTGGCAACAACTGGGCCAAGGGCCACTACACCGAGGGGGCCGAGCTGCTGGAGCCGGTGCTGGAGCGGGTGCGGCAGGAGGGCGAGCGCTGCGACTGCCTGCAGGGCTTCCAGGTGGTGCACTCGCTGGGCGGGGGCACGGGCTCCGGGATGGGCACGCTGCTCATGAACAGGATCAGGGAGGAGTACTCGGACCGCATCGTGAACTCCTTCAGCGTCATGCCGTCCCCCAAGGTGTCGGACACGGTGGTGGAGCCCTACAATGCCGTCCTGTCCCTCCACCAGCTCACCGAGAACGCCGACGCCTGCTTCTGCATCGACAACGAGGCCCTCTACGACATCTGCTTCCGCACCCTCAAGCTAACGACGCCCGCCTACAGGGACCTCAACCACCTGGTGTCCCTGACCATGAGCGGCGTCACCACCTCGCTGCGCTTCCCGGGCCAGCTCAACGCGGACCTGCGCAAGCTGGCGGTGAACATGGTGCCCTTCCCGCGCCTGCACTTCTTCCTGCCCGGCTTCGCGCCGCTCACGGCCCACGGCAGCCAGCAGTACCGTGCCCTCTCGGTGGCCGAGCTCACCCAGCAGATGTTCGATGCCCGCAACACCATGGCAGCCTGCGACCCGCGCCGCGGCCGGTACCTGACGGTGGCCTGCATCTTCCGGGGGAAGATGTCCACCAAGGAAGTGGACCAGCAGATGCTGTCCGTGCAGACCAGGAACAGCAGCTGCTTCGTGGAGTGGATTCCCAACAACGTCAAGGTGGCCGTCTGTGACATCCCTCCCCGGGGGCTGAACATGGCTGCCACCTTCCTAGGCAACAACACAGCCATCCAGGAGCTCTTCAGCAGGGTGTCTGGGCACTTCTCCGCCATGTTCAGAAGGAAGGCTTTCGTGCACTGGTACACGAGTGAAGGTATGGACATAAGTGAATTCGGGGAAGCTGAAAGTAATATTCATGACTTGGTATCCGAGTACCAACAATTCCAAGATGCCAAAGCAGTTCTAGAGGAAAATGACGAGGTCATGGAGGGGGCAGAAGTGGAACCCGAAGATAAGAAATGCTAACCACAAGAGAAGCTGTGTGATGGAGTCACTTACAGACCAGTTTCTTGTGAGATGAGTGTTTTTCCTGCAGCACTCCAAACCCTGTTCAGCACCGCAGCACAGTGAGTGTCATGCGCACTTATCATTAGCTTTGACACAGGGACAGTGGGGAGAGGGGACCCGGGAAATAGCTGATAGGCTTCAGGGCCTCCTGCTGACACTTACTAACCTTGAAGAGTTTGATATTCAATGCACACTCGTTAACTTTTTTTTTTTTTTTTAAATAGTAAAGTGAATTTATCATAAAGCACTTCCTTTGTTTCAAAGTGTTTATTGGGTACTTACTATATGCCACTGCAGTTAATGTTCATTTTTTTTTTTTTTTGTCCTTTTTGAGACTGGCTGCACTGCGGCCAGCCAGTGAACGCTGTGATACACCGGTCATCCCTATATAGGATCCGAACCCACAGCGGGAGCGCTGCTGCACTCCCAGCGCCGCACTCTCCCGAGTGCACCACGAGCTCGGCCCAGTTAATGTTCATTTTTAAACTCTTTAGCATCACTGATAAGTACCCTGGAATCCTTAGTGCGCATCCTGGGGCTGCTAAGACTATTACCTTAGGTTCTCTGATCTTAATGAATACTGCCTGGCATCCTGCTTTCTTCTTATGCTTGCTGGCCTCCAGAAGAGCCAGGTGACTGACTAGCTCATGGGGAGCTAGAGCCAAGATAAAAGTGAGTGAACGTCCACTAGTAAATTGTGTAGACCTTGTGTACACCTCAGTACACTAACTGGAAAAGGAGAAGGGGAGGAAAGAACAGTCACCATCTTCTCCACAAATATACCTGGACAAAAAATAAAGAATAAAAAAAGACAAGCAAAACTAAAAAATTCCAATTCTCTGATCTTTATTTTTGAGTAGCTAGCTTTTAATATATTTATATATTTTGTTTCCTATTAGTGTTAGATTCCAGGAATTCATTAATAATCATCTTTGGTTTTCCTTTTAAAGGCTATTTTGAAATGCCCTTTTCAGTCAGTAATAACCCACCAAAAATGCTCTGCAGCCTCTTTGCTCTTTGAGAAAGGGCACACCGCACACTGGGCAGCCATTCAAATGTAGGAATTAAGCAACGGCTGCAGTGTCCTTCTTGGTTACGGAGGACATCGTCTCATTAGGGAACTTTTACAGTTCAAATTAATTTGCAGAAGTTGCCATAAATGTTTGCACGATGACACAGCTTTAACCATTACACAATTTTAATCTGCTCACATTACAAAAGGACCAAATACACAAGAGTGTAATCAAATCACCCATAACTTCTTAATCGCAGCTTACCTATTTCTGACATGCAGCACTGCCATCCCTCCCAGTTCCATCAGGGTTTTAATGTCCATCTAGAATTACCACTGAGCTATACTATTTGATCCATAGATAATGGAAAAATGCTCTGACCCTCACTGCAGCAAATATTTACTTGCAGGCAACTGGGTTCTCATCTGACTTGCTTTTGTAATCGGCAATAATAAAATAGCAGGTGGATGGATGACAGCTGCTCTTTCTGAGAAACTTCACTCTTTCCACATATGCATCACGAGGAAATAACTAAAAACACATACCAAGAGAAAATTAGACCTTGCTGTCGGTATTATTGACAAACCTTCTATTTACAAAATTAAACACAAAACAATGTTTTAAACACTTTCTACTTGTGGTTCAAGAAACACTAAATTTTAGCAAGAAACTGCCCCTATACACTATCAGTTTGAAGTTAATAACATCCTTAAATGCTAAAAATACAGCCTGTGATTATGTAAGAATTTACATACAAGCTTCCTCTAGCGCTTTCCTTCTCAAATCTAAAAAGGCAATTAAGTGGATGCAAGGAGAGATATAGATTTAAATCTTAAAAAGCCTGCTGATTTATATTACTGCAAAGATTCTTGTTTGCTTGGTAGTAATCATTAAAGTACAAAGAAATTCAATTTTATATGGCTAAATTGCTTTATTTCAGACCAAGTAAATTCCTTTTCTTGGAGCCTAACTACCCAGACTGATTAATTTGAAAAGTTAAAAATATTTGAAAATGCATCTCACCATCCTACCCTTTTGTATGGTAGAAATAGATAAAAACAAAAACAAAAACAAACTAGAAACCAAGAGAAATCTGTCCCTTCTCATTTTGAAGAGCTTATTTCTTCAGCAGTCTGGTTGCTACAGCGACATTGGTCTCTCGGAGACCGAGAAAGCAGAATCACCGAATTTTAGAATTTGTCCGGTTCCTTCAGTTCTCACATAAGGATGCTAACACAGATGAAGATTTACTAACTCTCTCAAACATTACCTAACTAGGTAGTTAAATACCCACAAGTCTGTCTTGTGGGTCCCCTTGTTATTCGGGCAGTTATCTTAACAGCTACCCAGCAGCACTGGATGTAGGAAGTTTATTTCAACACAGTATAGGTTCAGGATTTTTCTTAAAATCACAAACAGCCTCAAAGAATCTTTGCTGAACAGTTTGTCTTTTACTCAGTTACTTTAATCCTTTCCATATCATAAGCCCTGTCCCCGAGTCTCACCTCTAATTATCCCATCTGCCTCCGTAAAAAATGACTTATCTCTAATTACTTGGCTGGAAATAATTTAGATCTTTGCCTATTACTTATTTCATTTGTCTGGTATCAAAAAGGCCCTACAGCCTCATGATTCATTTATTCCTGTTCCCTGTAATAGAAGACACTTCCTAGAACCCTAATTTTGGGGACCGTGGCACTAAATGAGGGGCTGTAACTTGCAAACAGGATGACAGCCCTGAGGTGCAGGACTCCATGGACTCCTTAATCTGCTGCTGTCCAGAGGCACTGGCTCTCCCACTCAATCTGCTGCTGCTCCTCGCATGCCCTGTGATGAGAATTAAATAAAACCTATAGGTCAACTGTCAGGGGCAGGAAGTCATCCCAAGCTGAGAACAAAGACATTTTCTTTGGCTTGTCCTTGGCATTGCTGAGAGCGGCCCTGATAAATTATTGGGAGCTTAAGTACCATGGTGACTAGTGGTCCTAAAACAGTGTATCTAAATTTCCTATTCATACTTACTTGTCCATTCAGTTAAAATCAAGCAGTTAACTGTGCAACAGTGTTTTATTTGGCTAAGTGCTTCCAAGTTTCAAAGAAAGATAAAACCAAAATACTTGCAACAATTCTTCATCTCTAAGGAATGAGTGAATGGCCATGCAAACACCATGGAACTGTTGTAATCATCAGACCTGCAGTCAAGAATCTTACAATCATCAGAAGTTAACCTTTTTTTTTTCCTGTGGCTGGCCGGTAAAGGGATCCGAACCCTTGACCTTGATGTTATCAACACCACACTCTAACCAACTGAGATAACTGGCCAGCCCGAGAATCTTAACTTCAGCTGGGCCATCAACTCAATAAGCTAGTTATTGAACAGCTTTGCCTCACTTCCTACGAGAAATGCTACCAGAATATAAAGATTCATTTCCAAACCAACATGAACAGTGTTTTGTGCCTCAATTCTAACATCAACAGTTCTTCTCCATATGTTTTAAGTACACAATAAAAAATGAGTACTGCAATTTAGTAGTAGTTTAAATTTGTTCTTGTAACCTATCCTTTTAGTAACTATTTTCATTTAGGTTACTGGCTAAGCAGCACTACTTAGTGATGCTGCTGCCTAGACAAAAGGGTGAGGCCAGGGGGTAACATCGCATTCTGATGTGAATCTGCAAAGATAAGGGACGACAGACAGATCCTCAATAATGGCATCTAATTTAGATCACCAATTAATGACATGAACAGAACTTTTTATTTTGAGACATTTTCAAAATGTCTTCTCTCTCTCTTTGGTCACTAGATATTAAATATGCTCTTCCCCTCTTTAAGAAACTCTGGTTCATATGGTCCTGACCATGCAGTTGTGCAAGTAGTGCCTATAAAGAGAAAGAAAAGTCTGATGGAAACGAAAAACCAACAGTAAGAGTGAACCACACTTCAATTTATTAGCATTGTCAATTTATGAACAAGACAGGTATTTTTTTTCCCCCATTTAGTGAGATCGTTTTCAATCTGCCATAACATGTGCCCACACATCTTCACCTTGAAAATGTAGCATTTCAAGTCAGGGTCTAGGAGGAAAAAAGAAAATGCAAGAGTTGCTAGCTAGTTCTTTGTGTTTTCTTAAAAACCCAACATGAATATAAGAAGTAGCTTCCTTAGAGTGGATTGTATAACACAACTACAGCTACAGTTTGCACACTTGGTGTTTGGTTTGAAGAAGTGCTGCTTCAAGTGCACGGCCTCAGCTGATCAGCACTTTCTGGCTCAGTAAAATTAAGCATTCTCCCAGCAATTAAGAAACAACCCAGCTTTTAAAAGACACTAAATTTTCCCTGTGCTAATGGGGTGGGATCCCCATCTCTGCAGGACATAACAGAGAGGGGCCAACATTTTAAGGGAGCTGGACGCTACTTCCTGACCCCAAGGTCATCACAAAGTCACAGGAGTTCGATGCAGAGTCTGGTTGGGCTCTGCTGCAGAGAGAGGCTAAGTGATTTTCTCAGTTAGCTCACCGTTAAAACAAAACAACCCAACATAAAACCAGGTCTTATTACTCACAATTATGAGATTAGACAGAGAACCCCTAGAAAAACAGATAAATTCAAAACACCACATCTCCAGACTTCTAATAAAATACTTACTAATTCAAAGTGAAAATGAAAAGTGCTTAGGGAAGATAGTTCTAATAAGTAAAACTGCTCATAACTACAAGCTGCCAAAGGATTAATATTTATCACGTTTCTGTGCTACTGTGGCTCTGAAGCTTTTTAAAAGCAAAACAAGAAAATTAAATCTGAAAAACATCTCTCTGATAATTTGCCTTGCTTATCTTTGAAATACCAATGTCAAGAAAATAGTTTAGTTTAGAGATCAAATCACTTTTGTACTTTGGAGCTCTTTTGTATTTGAACTTATCAACTGTACAAAACTCTCTCTATTGCATGAGAATGTAACTACATCACCAACATCTCTGAAGAAGTAAAATGAACCAAACCCTCTGAAAGCATAATAAATTTAGCAAACCAGTGTTCACTGCGAGGTCCTGTAGATTTTATTGCTTGATAAAATAGCAGGACCCTTGCCTGTACTTGCAGCCCTTAGTTCAGGAAGTAGTGATTTGTGAGAACATTAGCAGACATGGGGGAAATAAAAACCAACGAATTATAATTTTTCATGCTCCTGAACTGTTACATAATTCCAATAGCAATTACAAAAGTGGGAAGTTTATCCTCCAAATTATTTGATTTTGTGCAGACAAATGAAACAGGTTTAATTAAAATAAGATGGCTCTCCACCTAAGCACTGCTAAATGAACTGAAAATCAATGTGCCAATTACTTCTGCTTGTCAGGGCCCGAAAGGACATTCTTTCATTACACCATGGGACTTCTATAACCTGTGTGCTTTAAACTATTATCCTAATAACTGACTTCCAAACACAATGATTGACTAAAAAATGGGCAGAACCCAAAACTAAAATTACTTTGATTTTATGTTGCCCTAAAAATTTATGACAACTCTTCTTCTAAATAAATAGCAACTTACGGATTATTCCTTTTTTACTTTCACAATTTTTACGCTGCTGCCTGAAGTCTTCTCGGCAGTTGCTTTGAATTCCGTCTTCAGTGCATCTCTCACTGCTTTTGCACAGATCTGGGAGTATCGGATGTAGCTAAGAGAAAATGAGAGAAGATATAAAGTTAATTACCAACAATTCAGCCAGACACTTGTGTTACTGAGCGTTTGTTTTTCTTCCTATACTTTTAATTTTGGTTTGGTTGTACATTACCGTAGAACTGGATTTAAAAATGACTAATGCCAAAAGAAATCTACACAAAGAAAAACAAGACTAAAAAGAAATGTACCAAAATATTAGTTGGTGTCTGGATGAGTGACCTTCGATTTTTCTTTATATTATGTTTTCTCTCTTTAGGGTATATTAATTTAATAGGGTATATTAATTTAAAATAAAAGATGTAGGGCCAGCCCGTGGCTCACTTGGAGAGTGTGGTGCTGATAACACCAAGGCCAAGGGTTTGGACCACTATACAGGGATGGCCATAACCGGGAGAGCATGGTGCTGACAACACCAAGTCAAGGGTTAAGATCCCCTTACATATATATATAAATTAAATAAATAAATAAATAAATAAATAAATAAATAGATAGATGGATAGATAGATAGATAGATAAATAAATGGTGCAGAAATATTTTTAAAGATCCCATAGCACAGAAAACAGATCAAAATGTTAACAGAAGGGCCGGCCCGGTGGCGCACTGCGCTAGTGCGCCGCTTGGGAAGCGCGGAGGCGCTCCCGCCGAGGGTTCGGATCCCACATGCAGACCGGTTCCCGCTCACTGGCTGAGCGAGGCGCGGGGGCAACACTGAGGGTTGGGATCCGTTGCCGGACACGGAAAAAGACAAAAAAACAAAAAAAAAAAATGTTAACAGAAGGGCCGGCCCGGTGGCGCACTGCGCTAGTGCGCCGCTTGGGAAGCGCGGAGGCGCTCCCGCCGAGGGTTCGGATCCCACATGCAGACCGGTTCCCGCTCACTGGCTGAGCGAGGCGCGGGGGCAACACTGAGGGTTGGGATCCGTTGCCGGACACGGAAAAAGACAAAAAAAAAAAAAAAAAAAAAAAAAATGTTAACAGAAGCTATAACATGAATGATTTCCCATTTCTCTACTTAAAGTGTTTTTTCTTACAAGGTGTATAATTAAAAGAGAAAAAAATATTTATAGTTAAGACAGTACTTTCTCTGATAAATTATTTAAAGGTTTTCCTGAGAATACTGCATTCTTTCTCGCAAGTCTGCCACTGAAAGTACTTAATAAAGGTTTCTAAATTAAACTGAAAAGTCCTTAGAGAACATCATCAATTCTAATAAAATATCTAAAAGCTTGCATCCTGTTTGGTAGACAGACTCCCATCAATATCTTATTTACAAAAGATGGCAGATCACTTTTCAACTGTTTGAATACAGGAAGGGGGTGGGGGAGTGTTGTTTGTTTTCTCATGTTTTCAAATTGTTTTGGGGAGTCAGAGGTAAGAGTTCCAACGCCTGTTTCCACTCTTCCTAACCGGGTGGCCTTCAGGCTGTTCAACCTTTTCAGCTTGTTTATTTACCTGTAAAAACAAAATGATGATACCCGCCCTGTCAGAAGAGGAAGGACAAAGTGTGAAAAAGCATGGATCGCACAGTAGGTGGATTAATAAATGGTATATGTTACTAGGACTATCATCCTTTCAGTTCTACAAAACTTTGCTTGACTTCAGCAAGTCGGGTTGCTCAGTTGCTGTAGGATAATCATATACCCACAGAATATTCCCACTGGAAGGTGTTACCCCATCTAGTCAACAAGGTGCACCACCTGGATGGACCAAGATACTGATGCTCATTCAGGTGCAGAGGCAAAGAATCAGGTGTGACACCGAGACCAATGGTTTCCCCATTACACTAAGCGCCATGCCCTCGAGTGGGTTCCACACCTGAGCTCCCCAAGAGCACCACCACTCAGCTTTCAACAGTTTACCAAGGGCTTTCCCCCCTTCTACTGGTAAGGAAACCTGAGAACTGGAATTAGCTTAAAATAAAAAGATAAATGTGACTTTACGAAAGACTCCACCTCCATGCTGGAAATAAAAGCCTAAAATGCTAACAAAGGTTTGTTACAACAGGATATCTCCCCGCCCCTTTTACTTCCCAAATTGTGTGTCACTGAGTTACTTCTACGACAGAGACGGGCACAACTGTGAAAGACATGACCTTCCTACGTGACAGTCGCCCTTCCCGGGGCACTCCACCGCGCCGGCCAGGGTTGGCCTCAGCACGTGGTGGGCCGCCGCCCGGACAGCGGGAGGGCTGGGAAGACTGGCCCGGCCGCCCCGCCCCGCCGGCCTTTGTCCAGAGCGACGCCATCTTGGCGGCGTGGGCAGCGGTCACGCGGGGTTACCGCGCCCGCAGTGACCTTCTGACACCGGGACGCGCGCGGGCCGGCGGGCTCCCGGGCCCACCCGTCGCGGAGGCCCGGGCCTACCTGAGTCCAGCCTGTCGCCAGTAGGCCACCATGATGTCGCGAGAGTGGGGCGCGTCGGGCAGAATC